AAAACAAAAGGATAGTGTATTTTTCAAAATGCTAATTAACATTCTCTCTCATCATTATAACAATATGGATGTCCTGATTTCAAAGGGTTAGGCATTTGTAATATATATGATACACAACATGCTTAGAACGGGATTGGTGAGGCTACCCTGGGTAAAGTATGGTGAGAAAAGATACTCACCCAAAAAGATAAAAATAAGAAGATAAAATTAAATCCTTCTCAGTACCTGAACTAAGATTGACATAACTTCATTTGGAGAAGGGAAGACAGCCATAATTGTTGCAGCCTCCTTACGTACAGTGTCTGCACAAGAAACTAAGATGTAACAAATATATTGCAAGAATTCAACCACTTGTACTAGATTAATGACATTCTTTAAACCTGTGATTTCTTTATACAAGGAAGAAAGTCCACGAGCAACATTGCTAGGACTAGCCTGTGAACCCTCATCACCAAGAACCAATCTGGTATCTGCATTCATGACTTCCACATCAATAAACATTGGACGTGTTGCCACATAATGTTGCATAGCACTAGAGCCCCTGTTAAACTGCATCGCAATTTAAATATAAAAAAATAAGGCAAAGGGATTCATTTGTAAAAACTAAAGAGGTATTTGATTCACCATGTATTTAGATCTAATGAGACAGAGAGAGGCCAGGAGTCCTGGTGTTAAATTCTCTAGATACAATGATCTACTAGGTCCAGTAACAGTGATTACCTGAGATAATATTTTAGCACATTCTGCCATGGTTGACAATTCTCTTCTCTGTGATGCAGCATCAAAACGAGATAGCAATCTGTTCTCCAATTCTATTCAAAATTAGAAGCAGAGGACTCTAATCAGATTCAATCGCTATAATTTGTAGAAATCTTTCCCTCCGAAACTAATTTCTAGGATTCAAGATTACAATAAAATCATTAAGGAGGTGTGCCATCCATAGTTTTGAATTAAAAGAACAAGGAAACGAAAGTAATGAGGGAAACATAGTGTCTTCTTCTAAAGATTGCATAGAGAATTTTCCAATGAGGCTTAAAACTTTTATGACAGCATACCATTGCAGTAGTCCTGAAGATTAGCAACTGCAACTTCTAACCCTCTGCTAGCTGTTGCATTGCCTGATGGTACAGATATCCCCTGTCTTCCAATATCTTCCTCAGCAAAGGCCCCTAATATTGACAGAAGCATGGAAGGTAATTATATCTCAAAATGATGAGCATACAACCATAGTAAAATAACCTTATTACCATTAGGTTTATCACAACTTTATCTCCATTTTCAGAATAAAGGATGATATTACCATAATTACAAGTCAGTTTTAAAAGATACCACACTGATTAAAGCACTCCTCCTACAATTATATGGGGCTCCTATATACTCATTAAGTAGAATGGTAATAATTTGTATACACTCATGAAGTACAAACACCTTTTCACATTAGGTGGCCACGTACCAAAAGGACATATAATAGGGTTTCACAGGACTCACAGCTTCAGCCCATTGAACCTAATTGCTCCAGATGTGAATTAGGTCTTAACATATCTACATATATCAGATGAACATCATTCTGGCTTCATCCACCTAAACATATATCATGATCATATCCTGAAGATGAATCACAGCTACTGCTACTTCCAAATGTCCTTAATCCCCTTTCGCAGAAAGTGAGTAAGAGGTGGAGGGAAGAGAGAGAGAGCGAGGCTCATAAATAGTGTTCCTTGGCAAAATAACTACAGAGTTTGGAGATGATAATGCCATCTTACTCAATTTTTGTGCAATTTTAGCAGCCTCTGCAACACGGCTATCATCAGAAAACAGGGGTGAAAGTTCCATGAGATCGCCTGGGCTGCTATTGAACTCCATCAAGTACTGAAAGAATAAAAGTCAACATGGTGTTAACTTATTATAAATAAAAGGTAGCATATACTAAATCGACAGTGACTACCTTTATAAGCTCTATTGTTTGACTAGCAGTTTCCCGCTGAGCATCTGCACTCTGACAAGAAAAACCCACATAATCACAAAACACAAATTAACAAATATTTAATGAAATGATGGCACAATAGATATCAAGTACAACTTCAGATGTTAAGCATTGTTAAACAGGCTTAGGACAAGACTTCACCTGCAGATGATCTCCTATTTTTGCAGCAGTCTGGCCAACACTTGATATTCGTGAATCCAACCTGGCAAAGCTACCAAACAAGCCATCTACTCCTTTTTCAAGCTGAATGCATAACAATACAGTCAAATTTGTGATTCACTGTTCAACTCAGATTCATTTAATGCTTTGAAAGCATTTTTGGAATTTAGATCCTAACTTCACATGTGTAAAACTTGCATATTCTCACTTAAGATTGGTGGAGGACAATGTTAGAAAAGAATTTAAATTGTAAGCCTTCATTTTTATCAAAACATGAACAAGAAGCATATATGTAAATTCCATGGAATTTTTTACATATGATACTCATTGCACAATGATAGGTGGAATCTACAAAAGATGAGTTGCAATAATATTCAGATTTTTCAACAGGTAATTGTCATTTCCGGCTTAGAGAACTGTATTAAGTTAAACCCCGATATCCATGTCACACTCTAACGATGATAGTTTTAGCTCTGAAAGTAACATCTCACACTGGAAAGAACTTCTGTTTCTTCTTGGAGTGCAGTGTGCACACCATATTCTTAATATAATACACTAAAATATACACTCTCATCTAACTAACCTCAACAAGTGTCTTGCGGTGCTTAGAATCTTGTACAGAAACCTCCTTCTTAAGATTGTAGAGTCTTCCATCAATCTACAAGGGTGACAGGATGGAATCAGCAAATTCAGAAAAACTTCACATAACTTTGTAAGTCCAATACCTACATTATCCCAAGACATACCTGTTTCTGGAGATCAACCAACTCTTTACAAGAATCCTTGAACAGAGATAATATCTTATCTACTTCTGGAAATAAGGGGTCTGAAAGTCCTTGCGCAAATTTTGCTGCATCTGATGGTACTCGCATATGTCCATTTTGTAAAGAATCATTCCCACTGAGGTTGCTATGACCTTCAGACGAGTCTGTTTCTTCTTCTTGAAAAGAAGGAAGCAGCTCATTTACAAGGTTACCGAACAATGCATCAAAAGAAAACTCCCCCTACAAATTAAATTTCAAAGAATTTCAATCATTAGTTTACACTGATGGCCAATTCATGATAGGTATACTATAAAAGTTACAGAACATATATGATATATTTTTCCGTTATTCACCTTAAAGTCGTCTATGTCCAAGATGAGTGGAAGTGAGCTAACAGATGAAGATTTTGAAAGTCTATCACTCTTGTCTCTACTCTCTTTCATCTGGTTCAAGAAAAATCAGCAAAGCAGCAGAATGAATAAAGTCGCCACGAGAGCTCACAAAAAAGCCAACACCAGTCAAAAGTTCCATCCATTATAGACAAATTAACAACGATCTTGATTCGAGAACCAAAATTTTGTTGCTCAAATCACAAGAAAAGAGTAACTGTAAGACATCTAATACACTCCATTCTCACGCATAATAGGAATGTGCGTGTTTGCTAAACACATGAAACAAGAATTGGTCCTTCTTTAAAATATACCGCATATAGGGAATAAGCTTCTTAACCCTAACGTCAAATTTTGGAGCCAATCATTGTAAATTTGCAACTAAATGAATTTCTAAAGTCCCATAATTTAGAACCCAGAAAAGCAAATTAATTCATTCAGTTTTGACAAAATTTCAAATTATAAACTCAAAAGTTCAACTATGACTTAGAATCATTTAAAAACTGAAAACATTACAGAAACACCCAAGAGTTAATAAATGCCGGAGATAATGAATGGATGTTGCCTTGAAATTGAATTATAGAAGAGAAATACATGTTAAAAATTATCATTTTCTTCTAATTAAAAAGGTCACATATTCTCTAGTTTTGATGGATTTTTCAGCTGCAAGATACTTGAGCTGATAACTCCATTTCAAATTTTCCATTGTTCTCCTCTATTTTCTCACCAATCAAACACATGGAACAAGAAATTACAAAAAAATCCCATTGGATTCACAGCTCCAGCACCTCTAAAAATTCAGAGATCAAATTGTCAGAACAGGGTCTTCAAAATCCGAACCACATAAAAAACGCTAAACAAATTTCTACCTTTCGATCGCACATTCAGCAAAAAACCAACAATTACCATGCCTAGTTTGCACTTTGTGAAGAAAAAAAAAATTAAACAAAAAAAAAAAATAAATTAATCCAAAAAAATGGAAAATATACCTCTATTCGAATTTCACTGAGCGAGAAAGTGAGAGAGAGAATATCAGAGAGTTTGCCTCTTCCTTCTTCGCTGGGTCTGGTTTGGGTTAGATCGAGAGCGCGAGAGAGAGAGAGAGAGAGAGCTTGCTCGTAGACGAAGACTACAACGAAAATTCAATTACTCAAATGACGGTTTTACCCATACAGTGCGATTCAAAAGTGTATCGATTTGAGGGTAAAATTGAGACTTTCTATTCTTTGTTATATTATTTTTCCCTAGGCTTCTATTTGGTTTTTCCTGTTGTTTCTATTTGATTCGCTGACCTTTCCCCTCCCTCTCTCCTGCTCACAACATTGCTTTTGATTGAGAATAAGAAATACACTTTTGTTTCTTTCCTTTATTTTTACTCTTTTGTAAAAAAATCCCACACATTTTAGGTATGGTTATTGAGGTAATTTAAAAAAAAAACTGGTACGAAAAAAGTTAGAAGAGTTTTTAGTGTTTAGTAAACATTACAAATAAGCTTTATTTCAAAGTTTAAGATGAAAAAAGGTAAAAACAAGAAGGTGCATTTTGCATTTTCAAAAAACAGCTTATTATTTCAGAGTTCCAGATGAAAAAAAACTAAAAACAGGAAGGTGCATTTTGCAGCTTCAAAAAGCAGTTTATTTGTATAACAAGGAGCTAAAGTAATATTTTTAATGAATTTTTTAATTTACCAACATTGCCCTCCTTTCATACTTATATATTTTTTATTTCTTTTGTCTGTGCCTTGTTCTTTATTGCCTGTGAATACCATTTCGATCTGTGTGCTAATTTTGATTTTCCTAATCTAAATTTCATCCCTAATTCGACCTATCCCAAGTTTCCAAATCCCACAGCTCGATTCAATCAATTGCTTTTTTTTTTTTTGTAATTGTTCTTGTATTGAATCGGCTTGTCAATTCTGAGGTTCTTTGATTACTTTGGAGAATTGGGATCGAATCATTTCTGGGTTTTCTCGGTTTCTTGTTTTTGTTCTATAATCGATTGATTTTGGTGTGATCGTTAAATTTTGAATTTCGTGTTTTAATCTTAATGGACGCTGCTGATTGCCATCGCCGTGGTTTGGTGGTAAGATTAATGGGTTGCTTTATTTTGTTTGATTGATGATCTTTAGGGGAGGTACAATTCCTGATTGTGTTGGTTTGTGTTTAATTTAAAGATGAATTGGGTTTGATTTCTCGATATTGTTGATGTTCTTTCAACTCAATTGATTGTTGCTATTTTGAATGTTTATATATCATTTGATTGTGCATTGTAATTGCATGCTTATATAATAGCTCTACTTCATGTGCAAATGCAATGCATTGTGCATTTGCTTAATGATCAATATCTTCGTACTTGTTAAAGTCTTAAACATTTTGGTTCTGGATGCTATGTTTTTTGTGTGCTGATTAGATGTTTCTATCACTTGTATGTGTCTCCTTCTGATTTTATGTTTTTCATTATCAATGTGCTTGTAACCCCAACGTTTCTTTATCCAGGAAGGTTCTGCTATACAATCAGCTTGTTTGTGTTGTTAACCATGATTTTGTTGGCACTTTATTTTTCTGAAAATCCTCTGGTTTTTCTCAAAGGATATTTTCTTCATTTTGTGCAGGGCCTTGGCAGGTGATGCTAAAACAAGCCGATGGTTCTTATGCTTGCGTAGCAGAGAGTGCAACACGCTTTACTCTGGGTGAAGTATATTTCTGTCTAAACATCCAATCATCAGTCACTTTCTGTTAATTGCTAGACATAGTTTGTTATTCTTCTGTTGTGTCGTGAGAATAAACAGCTGTGAAATAAAACAGTAGAGTGTTTGGTAAACTTTTTTTGTAAAAGTGCTTTTGAAAAAAAAAAAAACAGTATTATAGTGTTTGATAAACTTTTATGTAAAACAGATATGAAAAAAAGCCGATTTTTCAAAGCTGGGTTTTGCAGCTTTGTGATTTTGGCTTTTTTTCACCCAAAACTTTGAAAAAAAAAGCTGAAGCTGAATGTTTACCAAACATAAAACAGCTCCCAACTTTTTTTTATAATCACTTTTTTCAGAATTACCTCAGTACCAAACTAGGGCTAATACTATATGGGGCACATAGTGATCTTAGAAAATTAGAATGACAACAGACTCATCTGTAGTTAAACACGCACAATTAACCCAACCTGAAATAGAATTGAAAGGCATTGAACAAATGATAAGTTGTAATTAGACTAGAATTAATGCTCTTGTAATTTGCAAATTTTACATTTGATTTTAGGAAAACTAATAAAAATAACTTGAAAACTTGAAGTTTTAATTAAAGAATAAAATAAATAGTACTAAAATTAATTTTTTAACGTAAAAATTTAATTTTTCATTAAAATGAATAGAACGAAAACTTTTAGTTAAATTTCCTTTGATTTTCCCCTCCCTCTAATTCCACTTCTTCCCGCTCAGTTGGCTCCACGCACGGCCCTCCAAAACCATGACACAAATAAATCTCAAATCCGAAACCCTAGATTAGAGACCAGAGAGATGGCCGATGCAGATTCCAACAATTTCACCAAAACAATCTGCTCAATCTGCTACGAAGACCTCAAGCCCACTTCTGAGGATCTGCAATCCATCTCCATCTGCGGCCATGTCTTCCACGAGCTCTGGTCTATCTCTCTCTCTCTCTCTTTTCTCTCTCGCTCTCTCTACATGTATATATGTATTCAATTTGTGTATGTTTGTTTAATCTTAATGTATGCATTTGTTCGGAAATTGATGTTTAATACGGCGACGTCTTCGGTGTGAAACCCTAGTCTGCAACAGTGGTTCGAGTACTCTGCGAGGACGAAGAAGTACACTTGCCCGGTGTGCAAACAAAATTGCAAGCAAAAGGATGCCGGCCGGCTTTATTTTCAGTCGGTGGGGGACGCGGCGGATGCGACTCAGAGGCCCATTCGCAAATGCGAGGAAGATCCCCCGGTGTTGCGTCGAGAGGTGAAAGGTTGGAGGTGGCGGAGCTGGGAATTCGTTTGACTTTCGATCTTCAGGGGAAGGAGCTTAAGGAGCTCAAATAGGAGGTATTGGATTGTCATTGTGCTTTGTTGGGTGTGTAAGAAATTGGGGGAAATCAAAGAAGAGATTTGGATTAGGACTTTGGTTAATTGGTCTCCTACTACTTGAAATAGTAACACATTTGGGTTGGTTTTTGGATTACTTTTTGGAATTAAAGAAATAAATCACAAAAATTATAATACCGCGGACCCCCAAGAAGGAAATGAGGACGGTGAGGGATGCCAAAAGCATGTGAGCAAACATCCTGATTCCTGCAATGCAGAGAACTAAATCAACTGAAGTGAATCTACATTATTCCGAAAGAATTAATTTGGTTCAGCAACTAGGCCACCAACATCCTGCCTGAGGCTGAGAATAGGTATACAAGTACCTCAATGAAAGAGTTTAAACTAGGGTTTTAGAGATTGATTGCATAAGCTCAAGTTAGTTAATGATAAGTGAGGTTTTGATTTCATTATATAGAGATTACAAGAAAAGTTGATTACAATATAAACATATATCAGATTACAAGTGAATTCAAATTTCAAATACAAATTGACAGATTCTAAGAAGAGAGAGGAGAGTTCCTCGACCATGGCAGAGAAGATGATGACGAGATAGTGTAAGGAGCGAGAGAGGAGGAGGAAATGAAATGGGATTGCTGGAGGTGGGTTTTTCACTTTAATAAGCCCCTGTTGTAATATATATTGGGTTGCCTCATGAGTTTGAACGCTTCCAGAGAGAGAGAGAGAAGCTGCTATTTTGGGATGCACGGACAATTTTCATGCTAGTAGCAAGTATTACTACAAAAAGCCCGCGAATATTTTAGAGAACATGAAATTAGAGAAGCCGCATAGAAGTCTAAAATTAGAGAAACCACGTAGAAGTCTAAAATATTTGCCTACATGCTAGTAGCAAGTATGGTCCTCTAATTTAATGGTGTAAGAAAACATGTTCTCTAATTTAATGGTCCTTTAATTTAATGGTGTAAGAAAACATGTTCTCTAATTTAACGGTGTAAGAAAACATGTTCTCGTGCAAGAAAACATATTTAACTACATGCGATTGCAACCTTTTTTTTTTTTTATTAGCTACCCAACAAGTCATTCGTTTCTTTTTCCCCAATTTCCAAGCTTTTGCCTGCACCACACCAGACCAAAGCTTCTTCCCAATCCTCATTTCCCCTTCCCTTCCCTCCTCCCCTCATCCCAATTTCAAAACCTAATTGTACTTTTTTTTACTGGAAATAGGATAGCTTTATTGCAAATTTTTGTAGAGGATATTATAGCTTTATTCCCCAAATTTTAATGCAACATCCTGCCTGAGGCTGAGAATATGTATACGAGTACCTCAATGAAAGAGTTTAAACTAGGGTTTTAGAGACTGATTGCATAAGCTCAACTCAGTTAATGATGAGTGAGGTTTTGACTACATTATATAGAGATTACAAGATAAGTTGGTTACAGTATAAACATATATCAGATTACAAGTGAATTCAAATTTCAAATACAAACTGACATATTCGAAGAAGAGAGAGGAGAGTTCCTCGACGATGGCAGAGAAGATGATGACGGGATAGCGTAAGGAGCGAGAGAGGAGGCGGAAATGAAATGGGAATGCTGGAGGTGGGTTTTTCACTTTAATAAGCCCCTGTTGAAATATATATTGGGTTGCCTCATGAGCTTCAACGCTTCCTGAGAGAGAGAGAAGCTGGTATTTTGGGATGCACGGACAATCTTCATGCTAGTAGCAAGTATTACTACCAAAAGCCCGCGAATATTTTAGAGAACATGAAATTAGAGAAACCGCGTAGAAGTCTAAAATATTCGCCTACATGCTAGTAGCAAGCATGGTCCTCTAATTTAATGGTGTAAGAAAACATGTTCTTTAATTTAATGGTGCAAGAAAACATGTTCTCTAATTTAATGGTGTAAGAAAACATATTCGCCTACATGCGACTGCAACCCTTTTTTTTTTTTTTTTTTTTTATATTAGCTACCCAACAAGTCATTCGTTTCTTTTTCCCCAATATCCGAACTTTTGCTTGCACCACACCAGACCAAAGATTCTTTCATAATCCTCCATTTCCCCTTCCCTCCTCCCCTCCTCCCAATTTCAAAACCTAATTGTACTTTTTTTTTTACTGGAAATAGGATAACTTTATTGCAAATTTTTGTAGAGGATATTATAGCTTTATTCCCCAAATTTTAATGCAACATCCTGCATGAGGAATATGTATACAAATACCTCAATGAAAGAATTTAAACTAGGGTATTAGAGACTGATTGCATAAGCTCAACTCAGTTAATGATGAGTGAGGTTTTGACTTCATTTTTTAGAGATTACAAGATAAGTTGGTTACAGTATAAACATATATCATATTACAAGTGAATTCAAATTTCAAATACAAACTGACGTATTCTAAGAAGAGAGAGGAGAGTTCCTCGACAATGGCAGAGAAGATGATGACGGGATAGTGTAAGGAGCGAGAGAGGAGGCGGAAATGAAATGGGATTGCTGGAGGTGGGTTTTTCACTTTAATAAGCCCCTGTTGTAATATATATTGGGTTGCCTCATGACCTTGAACGGTTCCTGAGAGAGAGAGAAGCTGCTATTTTGGGATGCACGGACAATTTTCATGCTATTAGCAAATATTACTACGAAAAGCCCGCAAATATTTTAGAGAACATGAAATTAGAGAAACCGCGTAGAAGTGTAAAATTAGAGAAACCACGTAGAAGTCTAAAATATTCGCCTACATGCTTGTAGCAAGTATGGTCATCTAAATTAATGGTGTAAGAAAACATGTTCTCTAATTTAATGGTGTAAGAAAACATATTCGCCTATATACGACTGCAACTTTTTTTATTTTTATTTATTAGCTACCCAACAAGTCATTCGTTTCTTTTCCCCCAATTTCCTAGCTTTTGCTTGCACCACACCAGGCCAAAGCTGCTTCCACAATCCTCAATTTCCCCTTCCCTCCTCCCCTTCTCCCAATTTCAAAACCTAATTGTACTTTTTTTTTTACTGGAAATAGGATAGCTTTATTGAAATTTTTTGTAGAGGATATTATAGCTTTATTCCCCAAATTTTAATGCAACTTTAGCCGTGAATCAGGTTGCATATTCGTCATTCCAAAAGTAACTAGGCATATGAAAAGGGGCTTTTAGATATGCAACTTTATTCCCCAAATTTTATAACTAATCAGGTCGTTATCGGGTCACAAAAAAAAAAAAAAAAATTGTGGATGTGAAGTTCTTTTTTTTGTTTTTGTTTTTTGATGATTATAAATCCTTCGATTAAGAAAACAGAATGAAAATACGCGCTAATAATGTAGAGAACAAAATTCGTCAAAGGCTATCCTAAAACCATGTCCTCAACATCAAAATTTTAAATCGTCTGCCAGCTCAACTGCAGTTCTTCAGGTAAACCAAATATTTCTATGCTTCGGTGATTGGTTACTCGAACACAACATCCTTTCCTGAAAGCTTCCGGTAAACAGCAGGGAAGCTCTCCAGCTTGTACTCGGTGTTGTTTCGTTCCTTGGGGTCCAAGAATACCTTCATTGTCTTGGATCCATCCAGACAGTATCTGATGCGCTTTCCAATAATCTCAGCAGGCAACACAACATCTTCCAACATTGCTTCATGCACAGCAGTTAGTGTACGACTGCGGGGACGTTGAGCAGCTGACCCTTTCTTAGGAGGCCTCACAATCCTACGTGTGGCAATCAGGATCACATCCTTCCCACTGAACTTCTTCTCAAGCTCCCTCACGAGGCGAACAAGGATCTTGCGATAAGCCTTCCTAAGCCTATAGGGCACATGGATAACCGCGGCCTTCTTGCTTCCATACGCATCAACTTGAATTGCTGAGTTGATATAGAGATCCTTCAGGTCACTCTTCAGCTCCTGATTTGTGTTTTCCAAATCAAATACTGCTTGAGCAACCGACTCTTCAAATTCAGTCGGCTCAGTATTGTTATCCTTGGAAATCTTCTGGAATTTTACGGCTTAACTTTTCTGTATTCCATAATCCCGAATAAAAGTACATACAATCCTTGTTACAAAAGGAAACAAAAAATAATAAAGGACACAATATCCTTCCTAAAACATGACTCTAATAATTACAAAATATTTACATTCCTTTTCTCCTAAAATATAGACTCACGCCAATACTCCCCCTCAAGTTGGAGCATAGATGTTAAGGAAAACATGCCCAACTTGATAAGTGAGTCATCGAACTAATGAAAAGGGCTTGAAAACTTTGAGTTTTAATGATAAGGACAAAATAAAGGGTAAAATGAATAGTACCAGGATTGACTTTTTAGTGTAAAAATGTGGTTTTTCATTAAAGTAAACAGTACCGGGTGCTTTTCGTTAAAGTTCCCATGTTAAGGAAAACATGCCCAACTTGATAAGTGAGTCATCGAACCTCCTACTACACACGGTATGAGTAAGGATATCCGCAAGTTGTTCCTCTGAGTTCACGAACGGTATTGACACCATCTTCTTTTCCAGCTTTTCTTTGATAAAATGTCTATCAACCTCAACATGCTTGGTCCTGTGACCTGTCATGCTGTACCGGATTCTCAGCTATTTCTCTAGTAAACTTATTGTCACAATACAATTTCATCGCCTCTTTCTGTGTAAAACCAAGACCCCAAAGCAACTTTCATAGCCAAAGGATCTCACACACACCATGTGTCATACCCTTATACTCGGCTTCGGTAGAGGATCGTGATACCACATTCTGCTTCTTGTTCAGCCACGTAACTAAATTACCTCCAACAAATGTGAAATACCCAGATGTAGATCGTTTGTCAGTCACATCACCTTCCCAATCAACATCAGTAAATCCCTCGATCCTCATATGTCCATGATGTTCATACAAAATTCCCTTTCCCGGGGCAGACTTTAAGTATGCCAAGATTCTCATTACTGCCGCCATATGATCCACACTTGGTGAGTGCATAAACTAACTAACCACACTTACGACATAGGCAATATCTGGACGAGTGTGAGACAAATAAATCAGTCTCCCCACTAGCCTTTGATATCTACCTTTGTTAACCAGTTCCTGATCTAGATAAATCCCCAAGTAATGTTTCTCTGTGATGGGAGAGTCCACAGGTTTACATCCCAGCATGCCTGTTTACTTTAATAAATCTAGAAAATATTTACGTTGAGACAAGAAAATACCTCTAGACGACTGGGCGACTTCCACTCCAAGGAAATATTTCAAATCTCCCAAATTCTTCATCTCAAATTCAGCGGCAAGATTTTTTTCTAATTTCATCATCTCATCTGAATCATCACCCATTATTATCATGTCATTCATATAAATAATTAAGGCCGTCACTTTACCACTTCTCCATTTCACAAATAACGTGTGATCAGAGTGACTTTGATAATACCCAATCCTCCTCATAACTTGAGTGAATCTACCAAACCATGCACGAGGTGATTGCTTAAGCCCGTAAAGTTACTTTCGCAACCTACATACTTCGGTTTTCCTTCCAGCATTATACCCCAGAGGAAAATCCATATATACTTCTTCTTTCAGGTGCCTATGAAGAAAAGCATTTTTTACATCAAACTGTTTCAGTTGCCAATTCAAATTTGCAGCTAAAGAAATAAGAACTCGTACTGTATTCATCTTCGCTACTAGAGAAAAGGTTTCCTGATAATCAACACCATAAGTTTGTGTATAACCCTTTGCTACTAATCTTGCTTTATACCTGTCCATTAATCCATCTGCCTTGTATTTGATTGTAAAGACCCATCTACACCCGACCAGTTTTTTTCCTTTTGGTAGCTCTGTTACCTTCCACGTATCATTCTTATGCAGTGCCATCATTTCTTCATCCATTGCAGCAGCCCATTTAGGATCCTTCAAGGCCTCATCAACTCGGGTTGGTGCTTGGATTACTTCCACATTATTCACCCAGGCTTGATGTTATGGTGCAAGGTTCAAGCATGACACATAATTAGCTATTGGATACTTCACATTTCCTTCAGGAGAAAACCTGTCAGGAGGAACACCACGATTTTGCCTTGGCGGCAACTTATATGTACTCATAATATTATCTGGATTAGTTACATGAGCATTAGTTTTGCTTACCTCAGGAATATTCAGAGAAGACACATTGGGTGGCATTATTGAGCTCGAGAGAAAGAGGGGTACGGGTCGGGTTCAACAACTACTGGTTCGGCAGACTCCTGCCGGTACTCTGCATCATACTCAACAGACTGTTGCCGAGAAGCATCAACTGTTTTGGTGCCCGGCAGCTGAACAGTAGTCCAATTTTCAACAGGCTATTGCTGAGAACCCTCACTATCTTCATTGTATTCATTCTCGGTAGTGTCTTGCCAAGAGCCTTCACAATTTTTGTTTTCAACACACGCTCCCCCTGAGCTACATATTACATTATCTGGTATCTCCAACCACCTAAGATCACCACTAGTATTCTCCTCTTGGTGATCAGAAGGTGATGGAATCGAAGCATAAAAATACTTGGATTCCAAGAAAGTAACATCCATGGTCACATACATGTGGCGAGTTTCAAGGTGCTAGCGCTTATACCCTTTCTATTGGGGAGCAAACCCAAGAAAGACACACCGGATAGCACATGGATCTAATTTACTACAATGAATCTTGTGAATATGAAAATTGGCTACACATCCAAACACACGAGGAGTGAGAGTATTAGTGGACACTATGGGAACAAATTATGTCAACACTTGGAGAGGTGTACGAAAGTCCACAACCCAGGATGGCATACGGTTAATCACATACACGACATAGGTAACAGCTTCAGGCTAAAACCGTTTAGGCACGGACGCACCAATAAGTAAGGCACGAGCAGTTGCTAAGATATGACGATTTTTCCTCTCAGTAACCCTATTTTGTTGCAGAGTATGTGGACATGTAGTTTGATGAATAATTCCATGATCTTGTAGAAACCGGGATAACTTAGAATTTATGTACTCTCCACTATTGTCAAAACACAAAACTTTAATATCAAAAGAATACTGAGTCTTAACCATTTGTTGAAACAAACGAAACACATCACAAACCTCACTTTTATTTTTCAACACATACAACCACGTCATACGAGTGCAATCATCCACGAAAGTAACAAACCACCTAATTCTTGTAGTAGTACTAATAGGGGAAGGCCCCCACACATCAGAGTGTACTAGCGCAAACGGAGAAAACATCAGAGTGTACTAGCACAAACGGAGAAGATCTTCTAATCATACTTGGAGGGAATGAAGCACGATGACTTTTGGCTAAAATACATACTTCACATTTCAATTCTTAGTCTTTAATACCACTGAACATATTAGGTAATATATGTTTCAAATAACCAAACGATGCATGCCCCAAACGATGATGCATTAACAATACCTTATGTAGATTACTATTACGTGATGCATGAACCAAATTAGCTCTTCCAGGAACCACGTCATCCATATAATATAGCCCCTCTCTCTTAGTGCCACACTCAATGATCTCTCTTGTCTGAATATCCTGAAGCAAGCAAAATGAAGGATATATTAATACAACACAATCCAATTGTTCAGTGACTTGAGGTACAGACAATAAGTGATGGGACAACGATGGAACCAATAAACAATTATGTAAGGGAAGAGAGGGTGTAAGAGACATTGTTCCCGCTCCAACAACATCAGCAGTAGTACCATTGGCAGTTGCCACACACTTTCTATAAGGATCTTTCATGGACTGAAACAAAGTTCTATCATACGTCATATGATCTGTTGCACCGGAATCTAAAATCCAACCGGTATTGGTCATTGTAATAACACCTGCACAACAATCTTTATACACTGCACATCACAGACAAAACAACAAGTACGCACAACCACACTGCACAAGCATTGCTCACGTCATAGCAAGCAATAAAAAAAACAAGGTAGAATGGGAACAACCCACTTGATGAATTAATGCTTGCTACCTGATTGCAGCAGCAAATACCTTTACTTTTCTTTTTCTTATTTTTGTGTGTTTTTTTTTGTTTTGGTCAACAAAGCAACAAACAATCACAGCAATTACGAAACAATTGCAGACTGCAACACTAGAAGATCACAGCAAAGAAAACACGCTCATGAAATTCACACAGTACAAAAATAAGGTGGTAGCACATCACAACTTTCCACGCAACAACTCTAATTAGAGAACACAATCAATACCTTAGCAGCCTCAAGTATTTGTATGGTAGCAGACAAGTAGCTGACAACTACACACTGCAAGTTAATACACGGTACACTTACAAAAGCACAACACAACACACAACAACAGCAAGATCACGCTGCTGAAAATACAATATACACGGCCTGATCGATTTCTGCAACAAGCAGCGCAGGAACAAGTCGACCGAACACAGCAACTGAAGAAAATATTGTTTTACAGTTTCTAGGGTTATAGCAAACTTGGCGCTGATGCCAAATAGAATTTTACGGCTTAACATTTCTGTATTCCATAATCCTGAATAAAAGTACATACAATCTTTGTTACAAAAGGAAACAAAAAAAATAATAAAGGACAAAATATCCTTCCTAAAACATGACTTTAATAATTACAATATATTTACATTCATTTTCTCCTAAAATATAGACTCACGCCAATAGTATACATTTGGCAAAGTCTGACTCGAGGAGAATCTAGAGCCGAAGCGACTTCTGCTTTTGAGTGACAGAAAACCCAAGAGCTCTGGCTTCGACGGGTGATGTGAAGTCCTTTATTGTCTTGTAAGTCAGGTCCATTGTATTTTGATGCAACATATCTGGTCAAGATCCAATCATTCAAAGGAAGGACCAGTTTTGGCTTCTGCTTGCAGCAATCTCTCTCTTTTGTTACAATTTTATCAAGAGATGAATACGAAAATTCTACTCTGCTATACGTTGGAGATTTTTGTTATGTAGTACCTTCATTACTTGTATTTCCATGACGTCTTACACCATCTCTCCAGGGTAATCTCTATCCGGGGCACAAATAATAACCTCTTCAAGTGGAACATTTGAGCTCGGTTTCTTCAGACCAGGTTTACCTTCAAACTATTACATAGGAATTTGGTACACAAATCAAAGTGCTCAAATCATTAATACCGCAGTTTGGGTCGCAAACAGAAAACAACCTGTTTCTGAACTGAAACTTTCAGTATTAGAACTTGCCGAAAATGGAAATTTGACCTTAAGTAGCCTTCCAAAGTTGCACTATGGTCGCTTCTTAACAATGGGAACTTTGTCATAATAGATGCATTTGATTCATATGTTGTTATATGGCAGAGTTTCGATCACTCGTCGGATACTTGGCTGCCGGCTGCTGAGCTTGGATACAATAATCGCACCAAGAGAAAACTAATTCTTACATTCTGGAGAAACGTGCAAAATCCTACACCTAGTCCTTTTTCTTTTGAGCTAGATGAATTATTTTTTAATTTATGTGACTATACTGATGCCTTTATAAGAGGCACACTTGAAGTCAATGGTCAGCTCACATTTTATGCCTGGTACCAAGACTTCAGGGGATGAGATCAGATTTCATTTGAACCATCGGATGAATGTGAGGTTAATATGTCGTGTGGTGCTTTTAGTATTTGCATCCAGCTATGGTATCCTCATTGTCATTGCCTCGAAGGATATGAAATCAAAGTTGGGGAAAATTGGATGCTAGAGGACTTCTCAGATGGCTGTGTGAGGAAAATTCCTTTTCACTGCAGTCTTGATGACTCATTTTTGGCGATAACTAGGGTTGAATATTCTCAGCACTTCAAGGAAATTTTCCATGTAAGCATTGATCAATGCAGATTAGAATGCTTAATGTTGATGCACACAATCAGTGAGGACTTTGGTACAACAGAAAGTGTTAAATTTGTGACCTTCGTTAGATTGCTCCGGTCACTAGTGTGGATAAGTATGTAAATG